TTTATACAAATTTGAAGTCATTCTGTTTCCCCTCCCTTCTCTCTACATGTCCGAACCACCCCAACAAAACCCCTTCCCCAGCCCCCTGGACAAAAGTTTTGGTTAAACCCCCACCCCTCCAAAATTCCAAATACGAATTCTCTGCATTTTTTTCACACCACAAATTGGGCCCCCAGACCTGAATTCCATGCCCCCAGCCTTCTCCCCGCTGGCCCCCCATTAAACCCCACGCTTTCCCCCCTTAAAAAGAGCGTTGGTAAAAAAATATACTTATACATTCCCCCCTTTTTCCTCCAAGGACAAAATTTTTTTCTCACAACTCCTAAGTGCACCACTCATCTTTTTTCCCCCAACAATTCTATGATTCACCCCATCTTTCTTTGGCCCCTCGCTTAAACGTCCCCTCCAAATTTTCTGAATTTTTTTCACCTCCCCCATACTCTTCCCTCCAATCGATATCCATTCTTTCATCACCCAATCTTTTTTTATCCTCATAACCTTACTTTTCCCGTAATTTACCCTTTAATTTTTTTTTCTTTTGCACACCCTACCAATTACCCCCCAATTTCTGCAGGTTCTTTCCCGGAAAAACTTTCCCAAAAGACAGTGTATTAGCAAAAAAAGCAGCTTTTGACAACTCCCCCTTTGTGTGTGATTTTTTATCTTTTAACTCCAGCCTCTTGCCAAGGGCCCTCGCATTTTTCTTTACAACCCCCTCTATAAATATATTAAAAACCACGGTTTACATCCAATCCTTTTCTAAGGCCTACTTTTTCTGGGAAAAAAAATTTTCCCCCTTTCCCAATTCTCTAACTTGAGCCCCACTATCCTCGTAAAAACTTTCACTGCTTTTAGTAACCCACCCCCTACACCTTTCAATTGCAAAAATCTGCCACTTTTCCCCCCTTCTCCCTGTCATTTGCCTTTTTTCCCAAAACCAAAAATGCCCCAAAAACCTCCTTTTTGCCCTTTTCTAATTTTTTTCATTATATGGGGGCCCCTGTAAAAACCTGGTTCCCAAAACAACCAAAATTTCCAAAGGGCCCCCTTTTTTCTTGCTTTCCCATTTCCGTTTTTACTCTTAATTTTTTCCAAATTTTAACTCTACCTACACTTTTCAGGGGACACTCAACAGCTTCCCCCTATAATTTTTTTTCACCCTTTTTATCCCTTTTTCCCTTTTTTTCAAAGGAATTTTGCATGCTCTCTGCCTTCCCCCCGGTACCTTCCTCTTCCATACATTTATTAAATTAAATTTCACCAACCCCTCCAAAAAATATATCCCACCCGTTTTAACCCTTTTTCTTTATCCCATCAATCCCCGGTGCCTTAACCCCCCCTTTATTTTACCTACTGCCCCACGAACTTCCCCCCCACCACAACTGGTTTTCATCTACAAAATGTTATTTCCCCCTTTTCCCCATACCCCGAAAACCAGCTTCCCTTTTTTTCATCAAAATTTAACAAATTTCCCCAAAAAATTCCCTCCATCTTCCCCCAAAACCCCTTTAAATCTCCCTTTAATAACTCTCCTCTCCTATTTTTTGCAAAATTTTTTTGTTCCCCTAGGCTTTCTTAACTTTTAAAACTACTCCAAAAAAATTTTTTTATTTTCAACAAAATTTGTTGATAAATTTCACCCCCCCTCTTCATTTTTCTTTTTTTACATTGCTTTTACCACTCTTTAACCTCTCTCTTTTTTTTCCATATATCTTCCCCCTTTCCTTTCATCCTTCTAAATTTGTAAAAATTCTTTATATGCTAAAATTTTTCTCCCTTACTACTTCCCTTTTAAACTTCATTCCACCCTTTACTCCTTTCCCCCCTGCACCCATTTTTCCCGTAACCCCAAATTCGTGAACACTCTAAAAACATTTTTTTAAACCCACCCTTTCCTTTGACCCCATTTTCCTTGCTCTCATTTTAAAACCCCTCTTTTCCCCCAATAGCTGTTTATATCTTTCCCTAATGCCTCCTTTTTAGTTTTTTAAACCTTCACCTCTCATTCCCCGATGTTTTATTTCCTTTTATCCCATCTAACCCTTTTTTCTCAGTGTAGTACAACTAGAAAAATGAAACTGTATATCTGTGGGCCCCTATAAACTGTACATCCGGGAAATTATCAACAGTCTTTTATTCCCCCCCAATTCTTTAACCAACAAATACTGTCATTTCGCCCTCCCCCAAACTTTTGGTTACCCTTTTTATCCCCTTTTTTTTAAAAAATGTTTTACCTATAACTAAACCCCTTTTTTACCAAAATTTCAATCAAAGGGCTCCCATTATCATTTTCACCTGGAACCCCCAAAAATTTCCCACCAAAACCCCCTCTAAAAATTTCTCCCACTTTGCATTCCCGGTCCCCCACCCCAAATTTCTTTACTTGGGGTTAAAGGCTCCCATAAAATTCACTTAACATTTCCAAAATCTCTCTCCCCTCTTCTGCATTCCTTCTTTCCGGTGCATTTCCGCCCTTTTTTGACCCACTTCTCGCATCCAACCTTTAATTTAATCCACTAATTTTGAATTTTTCCCCTTTTAAAATTTTTTTCCCTTCCTTTAATGATCATTTAAAATTTCTGTACCCCCCCTTTGCCAACTCTCTCAGATTTTCTCCAGATTTAAACCCATTTATTTCCCCCCACTGGGAAATTTTTACCCCTTCGCTTTGTTTCGGTTTGAGGCCCGGCATCCAATTCTTTTTTATTCATAACATCAGCAATCATCTGTTTCTTGTCATCGCCAACATCACGACCCTTTAAGATCCAAATTTTTAAAGTTTTTCTTCTTTTTTTTTATTTAAAGGGATACCGGAGAAGGGGTTATAGCCCTTGCTCCCCCCCTTTTAGTCGCTCATACGACACGCATGGCTTACGGAGGAAAGATTTTTTTTTTTTCCCCCTTCCCCCTGGACAAAAGAAGAAATAAAAAAGGCAAGAGCTATTTTGAAAAAGGAGGGAAAAAAACCAGAGTATGTATTTATATATATGTTTTGCGTGTCTGTGAAGTGTTGACCAAAAATGTAAGTTGGAAATTGCAAGATATTGTTTCTAGCGTGTTTTTTGAGACAGAAAAAGAAACCCGCAATCCTACCATTTATGCAAAAAAAGTTACAGGTTTTTGGGTTTTACAGTCATTGGGAGGACGGGAGTATTTCCCCCCCCCCGGGGGTTGTTTCCCAAAATACTACCCAAAAGAATTATGAAAGGTTTTTTGGGCCAAAATTTAGGTCCTTCCTTCTTTCCATACATTATTTAAAAAAAAAGCCCAAATATTCCAAAAAAATATATCCCCCCTTGCTTTTAAATTTTGTCTTGATCCCCCCATCCCAGTTTAAAAGTTTTTTTTTTTAATTTCGTAATTTAAAACAGAAAAAAGGATTTTCTAACCCCTTTCTCCCCGCAAATTTTTGGTGCCTCATGGGCATGCATGGGCCCCTTTGGAAAATAAATATTATTTTCCACTTTCCAAAAGAGATTTTAGTTTTGTTTTGGGTTTTATTTTCAGTCCTCGCATTTAAATTTTGGGTTTTTGGCAATTGAAATTTAAAAATTTTTTTTTTTTTTAACCCATCTACCATTTTTCCACCAAGGGCAGGGGGGGCCCAAAAAAAAAAAACTTTAACCTCTTCTTTGAAACACTGTTTGCCCCGAGGTGCGTTTTCACTACACTTATAAAACTGCTACTTTTTAACACCCCCCCTTTTAGAGTGAGGCACTGTGTTCCCCTCTCCCGGACTCAAGTCCCCGCCTGATAGTTTCCCTGAAAATTTCCCTTTATAAATATTTCCCGCTCACACTCCAAAAGCCATCAAGTCCTAAAAAAATTTGTCTCCATTTTTCTCCCTTTTCTAACCGGGTTGTTTCATGCTTGTTTGGGAAATCCACCCTTGCACACAAAACCCCCTTTACCCCCCCCCTTTCCCAAACCCTTTGGGAAAAATAACGGGGAAATTTTTTGTTGTTTAGTACTGTATTTTAACTGTTTTTAGCAGGAAAGACAAATATTGACACTTTCCTATTAAAAGAAATTTGTATTAAAATTTTTTGTAGGGCACGTATTACAATAGAGAAAAAACAATTTTTTTTAGCAAAACTGCTTTTCCCCGGGCTTAAAAAGTGCCACCAAAAATTATGTTGGGTGAACCACGAACGTGGTTGGGTTATTTTTGCCCCCAGTATAATTTTTTCGTACATTCTTCTATCCATGTTAAACTCTGAAAAACCTCTCAAATTCTCAGGGTGCACAGTTTAAGAGGAAGATCTTTACAGGGGCTTAGGAATACCAAAGTTATGATGTCCAGTACTTATGAACAAGCTCCAAAAGACATTCTTGAGAAAATATGTATTTTATGAATGCCAGTCTGCAGTTGTGAACATGTAATATTTATTTGATAAATGACTCACTCGCAAGATGAAACTCCATAAACACAGTTTGCTCATAAGTTGGGACCTTTGTGTGCTACATAAGAAATGGGATGTCATGTTGCGCTGAAAGGCTGGAGAAGACACACATGAGATCATTAAATTTTTTTTTGTGTGTACTATGTTATCATAAGGCCAAAATTAGTCAGTGCCCGATTGGTGGCTCCTGTTGCTTATTCTAGATTCTCGAATCTTTTTCTTCACCAAATTGCCAACTTCCCACAAAGGTAGTGTGACTCAAAGAAGGTAAGACATTCATTACCACTCATTCAGTAGGTGCCTTGCCAGAAGAGAAGAACATCACAAATCAGATGGCTCTCTGGACTGCAAAATCTCCAACTCGTACTTCAGAGTGCAGGCTCTATAACTCCCATTTTCAGAACTTTGAGTTCAACTAACCAGTTTCCCTGTATTCCTTCATAAATGTTACCTTGCTTATTCTCCAACAGCACATCAAATCTCAAGAAGCAATTGACTCCACTAACTCCTATCTAACAGCCTCACACATGCCTGGAATATGTTTAACATTTATTTGTTAATTTACTTGTACGCTTTATATTTTTTTTTTCCTGCCAGGATCGTGATGTGGAAGAAGGTGCGGATATGCTGATGGTAAAACCTGGCTTAGCCTATCTTGATGTTGTGCGTCAAACTAAGGATAGATATCCTCATTATCCAACTGTTCATCTACCAGGTAATTGGATTATATTATGCATTCATTAATATCTTTATATGTTCTTTTAGAATTGTGCATGTACAAGCCGTTCAGGAAAGAGGCTCCTTGTGTGCAGGCTACCATATGTGCGCAGATGCTGTATAATAGAACCCTCGTATCCACTGATTCAGTATCTGTGGTTTCAGTTAATTATGGTTTATTGTGACCCAAAAATACATCTTACTTTTGCATAATAATGGCCCCAAAGCACAAAAGTAGAAAAGCTGGCAGTTCTTCAATGCCTAAGAGAAGCTTTGAAGTGCTTCCCATCAGTGAAAAAGTGATAATTCTCCACTTACTGTGCATAATTTATCAAACTTTATAATACGTATGTATAAGGCTTAGATATAGGGCTGGCTGCTATCCACGGTTTTGGTATCCATGGCAGGTCCTTGGAATGTATCCCTCGCGATACGCGAGGTCCTGCTGTATATGCTCTTAGATCAGGGGCTTGGACTTCCAGCAAGTGTGCGTGAGCATATTAGACAGGACTGAATTGAGACAAATGATTTTTGGGACCTGACAAGCTGTTGGAGTGTGAGCAGGGTAATATTTTGTGAAGGGATTCAGGGAAACCGGTTAGTCGGACTTGAGTCCTGGAAATGTTAAGTAGAATGCCTGCACTTTAAAGGAGAAGTTTGGGATATTGGCAGTTTGGAGGGACATCTAAACTGTCATATCTGAGTGCCTCTGCAAAGACAGTGATTATGTATGAGTGATGGTAAAAGTGGAAATAAATGGTGAAAGTGTTGAATGATGATGAAAGTTTTTTCTTTCTTTTTGTGTTTTTCTTTCTCTTTGGGTCACCCTACCTCAGTGGGAAACAGCTGATGTGTAAAAAAAAAGTATTACTACTATTACATCAGTATTACTACTATTACATCAGTATTACTACTATTACATCAGTATTACTACTATTACATCAGTATTATTACTATTACATAAGTATTAATACTATTTCATCAGTATTACTACTATTGCTTTTATTCCACTGTAACATTATTTTATTAAAATATTATTACTGATTGATGCAGTGAGCAACAATCATGTGACCAGATCTTATCTGCTAATAACTTGTGTTAAACTCACAAGATGAAACAGCTCAACAATCATGTATTGTATGTTGAGTATTTTTATTCTTAGTTCAGATCTGCCTGAAATGTTATGCACATGATGAACTTCTCTCAAAATCATTCTCAGTAATACAGTAGGACCCCGCTTTACGGCATTTGGCTTTACTGCGTTCCACTAATGTGGACATCTCAAATTATGATCAAAACTCGGTATACGGGTCCCCCCACCTAACTTTCTAATGCGGTCACCACGCCCCACCTGGTTTGTTTACATTCTCCATGAGCTCCATGACTCTCCATTATGTCTGGAAACTTTCCAAAATTTCAAGTGTTTTAAAGTTGTCATATTCTATATTTTTTTTTTTTTTTTTAAACAAGTCGGCCGTCTCCCACCGAGGCAGGGTGACCCAAAAAAGAAAGAAAATCCCCAAAAAGAAAATACTTTCATCATCATTCAACACTTTCACCACATTCGCACATTATCACTGTTTTTGCAGAGGTGCTCAGAACACAACAGTCTAGAAGCATACACATATAAAGATACACAACATATCCCTCCAAACTGCCTAATATCCCAAACCCCTCCTTTAAAGTGCAGGCATTGTACTTCCCATTTCCAGGACTCAAGTCCGACTATATGAAAATAACCGGTTTCCCTGAATCCCTTCACTAAATATTACCCTGCTCACACTCCAACAGATCGTCAGGTCCCATATACATTCGTCTCCATTCACTCCTATCTAACACGCTCACACACGCTTGCTGGAAGTCCAAGCCCCTCGCCCACAAAACCTCCTTTACCCCCTCTCTCCAACCCTTTCGAGGACGACCCCTACCCCGCCTTCCTTCCCCTATAGATTTATATGCTTTCCATGTCATTCTACTTTGATCCATTCTCTCTAAATGACCAAACCACCTCAACAACCCCTCTTCTGCCCTCTGACTAATGTTTTTATTAACTCCACACCTTCTCCTAATTTCCACACTCCGAACTTTCTGCATAATATTTACACCACACATTGCCCTTAGACAGGACATCTTCACTGTCTCCAACCGTCTCCTCGCTGCTGCATTTACTACCCAAGCTTCACATCCATATAAGAGTGTTGGTACTACTATACTTTCATACATTCCCTTCTTTGCCTCCATAGATAACGTTTTTTGACTCCACATATCCCTCAACGCACCACTCACCTTTTTTCCCTCATCAATTCTATGATTAACCTCATCCTTCATAAATCCATCCGCCGACACGTCAACTCCCAAGTATCTGAAAACAATTCACTTCTTCCATACTCCTCCTCCCCAATTTGATATCCAATTTTTCTTTATCTAAATCATTTGATACCCTCATCACCTTACTCTTTTCTATGTTCACTTTCAACTTTCTACCTTTACACACATTCTCAAACTCATCCACTAACCTTTGCAATTTTTCTTTAGAATCTCCCATAAGCACAGTATCATCAGCAAAAAGTAACTGTGTCAATTCCCATTTTGAATTTGATTCCCCATAATTTAATCCAACCCCTCTCCCGAACACCCTAGCATTTACTTCTTTTACAACCCCATCTATAAATATATTAAACAACCATGGTGACATTACACATCCCTGTCTAAGACCTACTTTTACCGGGAAGTATTCTCCCTCTCTTCTACACACCCTAACCTGAGCCTCACTATACTCATAAAAGCTCTTTACAGCATTTAGTAACTTACCACCTATTCCATATACTTGCAACATCTGCCACATTGCTCCTCTATCCACTCTATCATATGCCTTTTCTAAATCCATAAATGCAATAAAAACTTCCCTACCTTTATCTAAATACTGTTCACATATATGCTTCAATGTAAACACTTGATCTACACATCCCCTACCCACTCTGAAGCCTCCTTGCTCATCCGCAATCCTACATTCTGTCTTACCTCTAATTCTTTCAATTATAACCCTACCGTATACTTTTCCTGGTATACTCAGTAAACTTATTCCTCTATAATTTTTACAATCTCTTTTGTCCCCTTCCCTTTATATAAAGGGACTATACATGCTCTCCGCAATCCCTAGGTACCTTCCCCTCTTTCATACATTTATTAAACAAAAGTACCAACCACTCCAACCTATATCCCCCCCTGCTTTTAACATTTCTGTCATGATCCCATCAGTTCCAGCTGCTTTACCCCCTTTCATTCTACGTAATGCCTCACGTACCTCCACCACACTTACATTCTTCACTCCTTCACTCCTAAAAGATGGTATACCTCCTGGCCAGTGCATGAAATTACCGCCTCCCTTTCTTCCTCAACATTTAAAAGTTCCTCAAAAATATTCCCCATCTACCTAATACCTCCCTCTCCCCATCTACTAACTCCCCTACTCTGTTTTTAACTGACAAATCCATACTTTCCCTAGGCTTTCTTAACTTGTTTAACTCACTCCAAAATTTTTTCTTTTCATTAAAATTTCTTGACAGTGCCTCTCCTACTCTTTCATCTGCTCTCCTTTTGCACTCTCTCACCACTCTCTTCACCTTTCTTTTACTCTCCATATACTCTGCTCTTCTTATAACACTTCTGCTTTGTAAAAACCTCTCGTGAGCTACCTTTTTCTCTTTTATCACACCCTTTCCTTCATCATTCCACCAGTCACTCCTCTTTCCTCCTGCCCCCACCCTCCTATAACCACAAACTTTCTGCCCCACATTCTAATACTGCATTTTTAAAACTATTCCAACCCTCTTCAACCCCCCCACTACTCATCTTTGCACTAGCCCACCTTTCTGCCAATAGTCGCTTTTATCTCGCCCGAACTTCCTCCTCCCTTAGTTTATACACTTTCACCTCCCTCTTACTTGTTGTTGCCACCTTCCTCTTTTCCCATCTACCTCTTACTCTAACTGTAGCTACAACTAAATAATGATCCGATATATCAGTTGCCCCTCTATAAACATGTACATCCTGGAGCCTACCCATCAACCTTTTATCCACCAATACATAATCTAACAAACTACTTTCATTATGTGCTACATCATACCTTGTATATTTATTTATCCTCTTTTTCATGAAATATGTATTACTTATTACCAAATTTCTTTCTACACATAGCTCAATTAAAGGCTCCCATTTACATTTACCCCTGGCACCCCAAATTTACCTACTACTCCTCCATAACATTTTTACCCACTTTAGCATTGAAATCCCCAACCACCATTACTCTCACACTTGATTCAAAACTCCCCACGCATTCACTCAACATTTCCCAGAATCTCTCTCTCTCCCTACACTTCTCTCTTCTCCAGGTGCAATACATGCTTACTATAACCCACTTTTTCACATCCAATCTTTATTTTACTCCACATAATCCTTGAATTTATACATTTGTAGTCCCTCTTTTCCTGCCATAGCTTATCCTTCAACATTATTGCTACTCCTTCTTTAGCTCTAACTCTATTTGAAACCCTGACCTAATACCATTTATTCCTCTCCATTGAAACTCTCCCACCCCCTTCAGCTTTGTTTCACTTAAAGCCAGGACATCCAGTTTTCTCTCATTCATAACATCCACAATCATCTCTTTCTTATCATTTGCACAACATCCACGCACATTCAGACTTCCCACTTTGACAATTTTCTTCTTCTTATTCTTTTTAGTAATCTTTACAGGAAAAGGGGTTACTAGCCCATTGTTCCCGGCATTTTAGTTGACTTTTACAACACGCATGGCTTACGGAGGAAAGATTCTTATTCCAATTCCCCATGGATATAAAAGGAAAAGTAATAAGACCAAGAACTATTAAGATAAAATCAAAGAAAACTCAGATGAGTGTGTATAAATAAACGTGTACATGTATGTGTAGTGTGACCTAAGTGTAAGTAGAAGTAGCAAGACATGCCTGTAATCTTGCATATTTATGAGACAGACAAAAGACACCAGCAATCCTACCATCATGTAAAACAATTACAGGCTTTCGTTTTACACTCACTTGGCAGGACGGTAGTACCTCTCTGGGTGGTTGCTGTCTACCAACCTACTACCTATAAAAAAATAATACTTGATAATTATCACTCTGAGGCACATTAACCCTTTCAGGGTCGAAAGTCCCTCTCAGAGACTTGTTCTCAGGGTCGGCCAAATTTCAAAAAAAAAATTATTTTTTTCTTATGAAAAGATAGAGAATATTTTCCCGATCATAATGACACCAAAAGTATGAAATTTGATGGAAAACTTATGGAATTATGCTCTCGCGAAGGTAGCGGTCTCGACGATGTTTATGCATTGGCGATTTTGCCCACTTTGAGCCCTATTTTCGGCTAATTCCACTGTACTTGTCAACAAAAATCATAACTACTGCGCTAGAACTCCATTTTTTCTATCGAATGAATACAAGAAACCACCCATTTACCAATTTCAACTATCCAATACAGTGGTCAGAATTTAGAAATTTTGCCAATTTCACACAAATTTCAAAAGATGCCAATTTCCGTATAGGGTCCAGAATAAACAAGAGACACATTCCTGGCACTAAAATAACATTTCCTCTGTTCATTAGTCACGTCCCCACGCCCCTCTTACATTCTTTTGCTTTCCACTTTGAATTTTTATTCTCACAAAAAAATAGAAGATTTACTGTTATGCAGACTACTGCATTAGTGTAGAAATGGTATAAATAATATCAGCGCATTTGTAAAAGAATATTAGACTCACCAGTTGACGTGTATTGGACACATAGCATGATTTGTTTACTTTTGAATTTTGGTAAAAATCGAACATTTCTGCTACTTTGAGCTCAATTTCAAGGTACTTTTCTTTGTAAAACCAGTGAAAATCATCTCAATTTCTGTAATATGTCTTCCATTCTATAAAATGAGACCAGGAAAACTAGAATACAACAATAAATACGTTACGAAAATATAGTGCAAAGTCGCTGTTTTAATCCAAAAACATGGTCAAAGTTTTTTTTCTAATTACTCACTGTGTGCTGCAGGATTTTTTTTTTTTATACCGCACACACTGACCACATAGACCCATTCTTTCATATGTTGGCCTACCAGCTTTCTCTCACTAGATTTGAGGGTGCTAGAATTTAGGCGTACTAGTACGTCAAAAACCCTGGCGTGTAAGTCGTACTAGTACGACTGAAACCCTGAAAGGGTTAAATGTCGTATATTACATTAATATACACATTTTCATTACTCCATCTGTATTTTTTCAAACTTATATAATAAACACACTATGTAACATATAAACAGTAGAAAACGAGATGTTTTTCTAGTCATCTTGTTGGAGTGTCAGAAAGAATAACGTTTTCTATAGTTCAGCACCAAAGAAAATGTGTACACAATAGTATTACTGAGTTTTACTATAGAAAATTATTACTTTCGTATGCCTTTACTCAGAGTGTCATATCATCTAAAAATGGTGTTACATGAGAATGAGAGTGTTGCTATTTATTGATTCTACTGTACACAGTGTAAAGTGTTTGTATTATGGTATAACACAAACGTGTATGAACCAAAACCAGACACGTTTGTCTGTTAGTTTACATACTCCACATCTCTGTCCTCTCTCTTTCGTTTATTCATTTTATCTCATTTACTCACCTCTCACCCTACATTAAGATTACAAATACAGTGGACCCCTGGTTAACGATATTTTTTCATTCCAGAAGTATGTTCAGGTACCAGTACTGACGGAATTTGTTCCCATAAGGAATATTGTGAAGTAGATTAGTCCATTTCAGACCCCCAAACATACATGTACAAACGCACTTACATAAATACACTTACATAATTGGTCGCATTGGGAGGTGATCGTTAAGCGGGGGTCCACTGTATTATAAGGTAAGTTATGAGTGAACTGTGTATGCATTTTATTGCTCTAGGATGCTTTAATTGTCTCAGTATATTATGTGTGGGTGGGCTGGCCTGGCCTGGCTACCATACCTACCATACCTACCACACCTGATTTCTTTAAATAAATACTGCTCATCTCACCCTACACTAAGACTACAAATATTTTAAGGTAAGTAATGAGTGTACTATATGTATATTTTACTTTTTTATTGTTTTTTAATACCTAGTTTTATTGCTAACTTAATATATGTATATGTTAGTGTAAACTTGTTATCTAGCATTTATATGCATTGATAAGTGGAATAAAAGGGCATTCCACTTTACTGTGGTAGCCTGGACCCTAACCTGCCATATAAGTGCTGCCCTACTGTACACATTTTTATGAGCATAATTATTATTTTTTTTTTAATACACCAGCTGTTTGCCACTGAGGTACAGTGATTCAGGAAAAGAGACAACACATTCACTGGCATTCATTTGCTATCTTTCTAGAAGCATGCTGACATAACAGTTCAGATGGCCATCGGAACTGCAATATTCCTACCCCTGCCTCAGAGTGCATCCACTAAATCTCTTCGTCTTTCTTAATTACACTCAACAGCACATCAAGTCACTAAAACCACTTTTCTTTACTCCAGTCTTCAGATACTCTCACAAACCTGTTCAGTATCCAGTCCCCTGGCACCCAGTCTTACCCCATCCCTACAACCCTTCTTGGGATGACCTCTTGCTTCTTTCTTTACTCCCTTTCATCCTATTTTGCTCCATCCTCTCCAAGTGAACCAGACTCCTCAATGTCCCTTCCTCAGCCCTCTAAGGAGGAGTCTTTCTGATTTCTGTATTCTGATTTCTTAAATTATTATTATTTTAGTTATTAACACATTGGCCGTTTCCTGCTGAGGTTGGGTGATCCGAAAAAGAAGAAACACTTTCATCATCACTCACTCTATCACTGTCTTGCCAGAGGCACGCTCACACTACAGTTGAAAAACTGCAACATATCTCCACCTCTCCTATAAAGCACATGCACTGTACTTCCTATCTCCAGGACTCAAGTCCAGCTAACCGGTTTCCCAGAATCCCTTCATCAATGTTACTCTGCTCACAGTCCAACAGCACATAAAGTCATAAAAACCATTTGCTTCTACTCACTCCTGTCTAACACACACTCTTGCTGAAAGTCTAAGCCCCTCACTCACAAAGCCTCCTTTACCCCTCCCTCTAGCCTTTCCTAGGATAACTCCTACCCTACCTTCCTTCTACTACAGATTTATACACCCTCCAAGTCATTCTATTTTGTTCCAACCTCTCTAAATGTTCTAACCACCTCAATAACCCCTCTTCAGCCCTCTGGATAATACTGTTAGTAACCCTTGCATCATTCCTCATCTCTAAGCTACAGATTCTCTGGATAATATTCACCCCATGCAATCGTGTCATTACGATTTCGTGAGTCAAGTGTGGATTATCCTCAGTCAGATCGTTGTACTGTATTTTAAAAGTATAAATTAGGAATTTGATGATCCATATACTATTTTATTTTGCTTTATTTGAAACTTTAGTATTTATAGTGCCTCACTTCTCTCTTACTATGTACAGTAGAAATTTCAATTCTTATGTTGATTTACTAATCAGATTATTATTTTAGGTGTCTGGAGAATATGCTATGCTGCATCATGGTGCCAAAGCTGGAGCTTTCAACCTTCGTGTTACACTTACAGAAGTTCTTACCAGCATGCGACGAGCAGGTACATCTTTATAATTACCAGTAATATGAGGGAAGTACAATGCCTGCACTTTAAAGGAGGGGTTTGGGATATTGGCAGTTTGGGGGATATGTTGCGTATCTTTATACGTATATGCTTCTAAACTGTTGTATTCTGAGCACCTCTGCAAAAAGTGAGTGTGGTGAAAGTGTTGAATGATGATGTAAGTATTTTCTTTTTGGGGATTTTCTTTCTTTTTTGGGTCACCCTGCCTCGGTGGGAGACGGCCGACTTGTTGAAAAAAAAAAATGAGCAGCACATTTTGAAAGTGGTGGTTCTTGTCTCCCTCCTCATCAACTACGTTACTCTTATTGGATAGTCTGCCACATAATCTCATTCACCATATGTTAATAAGTTAGGTTTTCTTTAATGTTTGCATGAAGTCTTTTTACTACACTCCCTTTCATAATATTTATATACTATATATCTCATATTTGTAATAGGTAGTAGGCTGGTAGACAGCAACCACCCAGGGAGGCACTACCGTCCTGCCAAGTGAGTGTAAAACGAAAGCCTGTAATTGTTTTACACGATGGTAGGATTGCTGGTGTCCATTTTTCTGTTTCATGAACATGCAGGGTTTCAGGTACATCTTGCTACTTCTACTTGCACTTAGGTCACACTACACATACATGTACAAGCACATATACACACACCCCTCTGGGTTTTCTTCTGTTTTCTTTCTAGTTCTTGTTCTTGTTTATTTCCTCTTATCTCCATGGGGAAGTGGAACAGAATTCTTCCTCCGTAAGCCATGCGTGTTGTAAGAGGCAACTAAAATGCTGGGAGCACGGGGCTAGTAACCCCTTCTCCTGTATATATTACTAAATGTAAAAGGAGAAACTTTCGTTTTTCCTTTTGGGCCACCCCGCCTCGGTGGGATACGGCCGATGTGTTGAGAGAGAGTAGGCTGGTAGACAGCAACCACCCAGTGAGGCACTACCGTCCTGCCAAGTGAGTGTAAAACGAAAGCCTGTAATTGTTTTACATGATGGTAGGATTGCTGGTGTCCTTTTTTCTGTCTCATGAACATGCAAGATTTCAGGTACGTCTTGCTACTTCTACTTACACTTAGGTCACACTACACATACATGTACAAGCACATATATACACACCCCTCTGGGTTTTCTTCTATTTTCTTTCTAGTTCTTATTCTTGTTTATTTCCTCTTATCTCCATGGGGAAGTGGAACAGAATTCTTCCTCCGTAAGCCATGCGTGTTGTAAGAGGCGACTAAAATGCCGGGAGCAAGGGGCTAGTAACCTCTTCTCCTGTATATATTACTAAATGTAAAAGGAGAAACTTTTGTTTTTCCTTTTGGGCCACCCCACCTCGGTGGGATACGGCCGGTGTGTTGAAAGAAAGAAAGAAAGAACATGCAGGGTTTCAGGTACGTCTTGCTACTTCTACTTACACTTAGGTCACACTACACATGCATGTACAAGCATATATACACACACCCCTCTGGGTTTTCTTCTATTTTCTTTTTAGTTCTTGTTCTTGTTTATTTCCTCTTATCTCCATGGGGAAGTGAAACAGAATTCTTCCTCCGTAAGCCATGTGTGTTGTAAGAGGTGACTAAATTGCCGAGAGCAAGGGGCTAGTAACCCCTTCTCCTGTATAAATTACTAAATTTGAAAAGAGAAACTTTTGTTTTTCTTTTTGGGCCACCCTGCCTTGGTGGGATACGGCCGGTTTGTTGAAAAAAAAAAATCTCATATTTGAGTGCCTAAACCTTAAGCCACTTATACCTCCATCCTGTGGCTTGCATCCTTGGGAAGAAGATTAAAGGATCCCAATGGACATAATACAGACACTCCTTAATGCTGCACTAACTTTATTGAGTTTTTCTGAGAGGCCTACTGTACAGGTTAGCCACTCAGCAATCATGCCAGAGTGGCTAACACACTGACTGTCTCCTACTGAGGCAGGGTGACCCCCCCTCCCCCCCCAAAAAAAAAAAATCACCATCATTCACATATAATCACTGTCTTTACACAAGCACTCAGATACGACAGTTTAGGTCTCAATCCAAACATCCAATATCCTAAACCCCTCCTTAAACCCTTTCAGGGTTGAGAGGCCCTCTCCTAAACTTGTTCTCAGGGTTGAAATTTTTTGAAAAAAAAAAAAAAAAAATTCTCATGAAATGAAAGAGAATCTTTTCCCGATCATAATGACACCAAAAGTATGAAATTTGATGGAAAACTTACGGAATCATGCTCTCACGAACTTAGCAGTCTCGGCGATGTTTACGCATCGGCGATTTCACCCACTTTGAGCCCTATTTTCGGCCAATTCCAGTGTACTAGTCAACAAAAATCATAACTATTTCACTAGAACTCCATTTTTTTCTATCGAATGAGTACAAGAAACCACCCATTTACTGATCTCAACTATCCAATAAAGCGGTCAGAAATTTGCACTTTTGCCAATTTCACACAAATTTCAAAAGATGCCAGTTTCCAAATAGGGTCCAAAATAAACAAGAGACACATTCCTGGCACTAAAATAACATTTCCTCTGTTCATTAGTCACATCCTCAGGCCTCTCTTACATTTCTTTTGCTTTCCACTTTGAATTTTTATTCTCTTAAAAAATAGAAGATTTACTGTTATGCAGACTACTGCATTAGTGTAGAAATGGTATAAATAATATCAGAGCACTTGTGAAAGAATATTAGACTCACCAGGTGACGTGTATTGGACGGGTGGCATGATTTGTTTACTTCTGAACTTTGGCAAAAATTTAATATTTCTGCTACTTTGAGCTCAATTTCAAGGTACTTTTCATTGTGAAACCAATCAAAATCATCTCAATTTCTGTAATATGTCTTCAATTCTATAAAATGAGACCAGGAAAACTAGAATACAACAATAAATACCATATGAAAATACAGTGCAAAGTCACTGTTTTATTTTCTCATTACTCACTGTGTGCTGCAGGATTTTTTTGTACTGTGCACACTGACCACATAGACCCATTCTTTCATATGTAGGCCTACCAGTTTTCTCTCGCTAGATTTGATGATGCTAGAATTTAGGCGTACTAGTAGGTCAATAACCCTGGTGCATAAGACGTACTAGTACGTCGGAAACCCTGAAAGGTTTAACCCTTTCAGGGTCCAGACCCTTGATCTGAAACTTGTCCACAGGGTCCAACAACTTTAAAAAAAAAAAATATTTTTTCTTGTGAAATGATAGAGAATCTTTATTTTCTGAAGGTAATAAAACAAAAAGTATAAAATTTGATGGAAAACTGATGAAATTATGCTATCACGAATTTTGTTGTCAGCAATATTTATGCCTCGGCTATTTTGCCCATTTTGACACCTGCTTTACGCCAGTTACAATAATAATTATATAAATAATATCAGTGCATTAGAGAATGCATATTGGACCCACCAGTTGAGGTGTATTGGACGTGTGATGTGATTTGTTTTTGTCTTGAACATTGGTAAAAATCGAACATTTCCAATACTTTGAGCTCAATTTCGTGCTATTTTAACTTCTAAAACCAATCAAAATCATCTCTACTTCTGTAATATATCTTCCATTCTATCAAATTTGAGACCAGGAAATTGTGAATACAATGAAAATACACTGTAAATTCGCTCTTTTAAACCAAAAACACAGTCTCAGTTTTTTCTCGTTATACACTTCATGTTGCAGGATTTTTTTTATATGGTGCACACTTACCACATAGACCCAGTCTCTCATATCTAGGATCAAATTTACCACTCACAGCTTATCTGATTAGGCTGAGCTCATGGCGTAGAACTATGGCAATGACATTGGCTTCAAAGCCATGGAACTACATCACGGACCCTGAAAGGTTTAACCCTTTCAGGGTCCAGAGGCCAAATTTCAAAGTGTAAAAATTTTGTTATTTTTTTCTTATGAAATGGTAGAGAATCTTTTTCTGAAGGTAATAAAACAAAAAGTACGAAATTTGATGGAAAATTGATGAAATTATGCTCTAGCGAATTTTGATATGTCAGCGATATTTGTGTATCAGCGATTTTGCCGACTTTGGCTCCTATTTTAGGCCAATTACATTATTCCAGTCAACCAAAGTCTTAGCTATTTCACTAGTATTACTTCTATTCTATCAATTGAGCACAAGAAATTGCCAAGTCAACTGTTTCAACTACAAAATAAACTGATCAGAAATTGATAATTTGGCCAATTTAATGAAAAATTCAAAATACTATTCCAATTTCAAAATTGGGTCCAGAATAAACAATGCAGGCATTCCTGGTACTAAACTAACATTTTCTCTGTTTATTAGTTACATTTTCAGGCTTTACAAATGAATTCCATTTTGATTTTTTATTCACATAATGAATTTTTATTAAAACCAAAAAAGAGAAGATTTACTGTTATGCAATATTGTAATACAGTGGACCCTCGACCAGCGATGGCATCGATTAACGATAAATCTGACTAGCGATACATTTTATCGCAAAAATTTTGCCTCGATTAGCGCTAAAAAACTCGACCAACACTATTCGTTCCGTCTGAGACGAGTCCACTTCTGGCCAGTGTTTATAAGCCAGCCAGCCACCGCGGTCGCTTCCAAGCATACAATCGGAACATTTCATATTATCACAGCCTTTTTAGTGATTGCACCTGCAAAATAAGTCACCATAGGCCCCAAGAAAACTTCTAGTGCCAACCCTACAGCAAAAAGGGTGAGAATTACTATGGATATGAAGAAAGAGATCATTGCTAAGTATGAAAGTGGAGTGCATGTCTCCGAGCTGGCCAGGCTGTACACAAAACCCCAATCAACCATCGCTACTATTGTGGGCAAGAAAACGGCAATCAAGGAAGCTGTTCTTGCCAAAGGTGCAACTATGTTTTCGAAACTGAGATCGCAAGTGATAGAAGATGTTGAGAGACTGTTATTGGTATGGATAAACGAAAAACAGATAGCACATATGATCTCAAGCAATCATATGTGAAAAGGCTAGGAAGTTGCATGACGATTTAATTAGAAAAATGCCAGCAACTAGTGGTGATGTGAGTGAATTTAAGGCCAGCAAAGGTTGGTTTGAGAGATTTAAGAATCGTAGTGGCATACATAGTGTGATAAGGCATGGTGAGGCTGCCAGTTTGGACCAAAACGCAGCTGAAAAATATGTGCAGGAATTCAAGGAGTACATCGACAGTGAAGGACTGAAATCTGAACAAGTGTTTAATGGTGACACTGACAATGTTGTGAAACACTTTAGGAATGTCATAAAGGAACGGGAGGTACAGGCCTCTATGGGCAGATATGTTGTGCGACAGAGGTCCAGTGACTCTCAAGCTAGTCCTAGTGGCATTAAAAGAAGAAGGGAAGTAACCCCAAAAAAGGACTTGCCACCTCAAGTCCTAATGGAAGGGGATTCCCCTTCTAAACACTAAGACCATCAACACACTCCCCTCTTCCCATCCCATCAATCATCACCAGATCTTCAATAAAGGTAAGTGTCATGTAACTGTGCATGTCTTCTTCAGTTTGTGTGTACTAAAATTAATATTTCATGTTGTAAAATTTTTTTTTTCAATACTTTTGGGTGTCTTGCACGGATTAATTTGATTTCCATTATTTCTTATGGGGAAAATTAACTTGACTAACGATTATTTTGACTAACGATGAGCTCTCAGGAACGGATTAATAGCGCTAGTTGAGGGTCCACTGTAATTGTATAAATAATATCACCTGACCAGCTGGGCTGTGGTTCGTATGTTGGGTTGCGTGCAGCCAGGGGTAACAGCCAGGTTGATCAGGCCCTGATCCACCATGAGGCCTGGTCACAGACCGGGCCGCGGGGGCGTTGACCCCCGGAACTCTCTCCAGGTAAACATTTGTGAACGTATATTAGACCCACCAGCTGGCGTGTCTTAGATGTGCGAGGTCATTTGTTTACTCTTGAACATCGGGAAAAATTTAACATTTCCTCTACTTTGAGCTCAGTTTCAAGCCATTTCCATCCCTACTTCTGTAATATGTCTTCCATTCTATCAAATGAGACCAAGAAATTGCAAATACAACTATGAAAAACATACAAAAACCACTGCAAAGTCGCTGTTTTAATCGAAAATTACGGTCTCAGTTTTTTTTCTCTCATTATTCACTGTGTCCTGCAGGATTTGTTTTATGTGGTACACACATACCACATAGATGTATTTTCTCACATGTATGCCCAAATTTACCACTTAGCTTGTCAGGGTGAGCTGAGCTCATGGCGTAGATCTACGGTTTAGACCCTCAACTCAAAACCGTAGAACTATGGCACGGACCCTGAAAGGGTTAAAGTGTCAGCATTGTACTTTTCACCTTTAGGACTCAAGTCTTGTTAACTGGTTTCCCTGAATCCCTTCATAAAATATTACCCTGCTCACACTCCATCAGTTCGTCAGGTCCCAAAAGCCATTCATCTCCATTCACTCCTATCTAACAACACACACACACATGCCTGCTGCATATCCAAGCACCTTACACACAAAACCTCTTTTACCCCCCTCCCTCTATCCTTTATTTTTATCACTCCTCCCCTCCACTACAGATTTATATACTCTCCAAGTCATTCTATTGTGCTCCATCCTTTCTAATGACCAGACTGCCTCAACAACCCCTCTTCAGTCCTCTGAATAATACTTTTAGTAACTCCACACTGCGAATTCTCTGCACAACATTTACACCAAACATTACCCTTAGACACAACATCTTCACTGCCTTCAGCCTTCTCCTAGCTGCAGCATTCACAATCCATGCTTCACACCCATATAAGAGTGTTGGTACCACTATACTTTTGTACATTCCCTTCTTTGCCTCCAATGGATAATTTTTTTTTTGTCTCCACAGACACCTAGGTGCACCACTCACCTATGGTTAACCTCATCCTTCATAAACCCATCTGCTGACATATCTACTCCCAAACTAAACACATTCACTTTTCCAAAACTCCCCCCCTTTCATTGTGTTCAGTTTTTCTTTACCTATCTGTTTGATACCCTCATCACCTTACTCTTATCTAAATTCACTTTCAACTTTCTTCCTTTACACACTCTCCCAAACTCGTCACTAACCTTTGCAACTTTCTTTAGAATCCCCAAACCAGTTCGCGCAAAAATACTGTGTAACTCCCTTTTTCTTTATGATTACCCATAATTAACCCCCCCTCATCCCAAACCCTTAGCATTTACTACTTTTCCCAACCATCTATAAATTTTCTATTTAGCCATAGGTCCATTACACAATTACTCTTCAACTTGGTTTCAAATGGGCTCAATATACATTCACTAACTCTCCCAAAATCTCTCTCTCTCCTCTGCATTCCTCTCTTCTCCAGGTGCATACACACTTATTACCTCTTCCATATACTTGCAACATCTGCCACATTGCTCCCCTAACCACCTTATTCGTATACCTTTTCTAAATCCATAAATGCAGTGAAAACTTTCCTTCCTTTATCTAAATACTGTTCATATACTGTATATGCTTCAATGTAGATACTTGACCTATACATTCCCTACCCATTCTAAAGCCTCCTTGTTCATCTGCAATTCTGCTCTCTGTCTTACCTCTAATTCTTTCAATAATTACCCTACCGTACACTTTACCTGGTATACTCAGTAAACCTCTTTCAATAAACTGACCATATCCCACTGAGGCAGGGTGGCCTAAAGAGAAAAAAGTTTCTCTTTTTAACTTTAGTACTGTATACAGGAGAAGGGGTTACTATCCCCTTGCTCCCAGCTTGTTAATCGCCTCTTACGACATGCACGGCTCATGGAGGAAGAATTCTGCTCCACTTCCTCATGGAGATAAAAGGAAATAAATAAGAATAAGAACTAGTAAGAAAATTGAAGAAAACCCAGAGGGGTGTGTATATATATGCTTGTACATGCATGTGTGAAAAATTGAGACACTTATGCAACATACTGGAATCTTTATTGAAGAAACGTTTCGCCACACAGTGGCTTCATCAGTCCAGTACAAAGCAGGAAGGAACGGAGAGAGGAGTTTGAGGTAATCAGTCCATCAGCCTGAAATCGATGTGTTCAGTCCGTCACTCTTGTAGGAAGTACAGCATAGGGCCAGAGAGGTGGCTTATATACTGCAGTCAAGTGAGTCGAAGCAGGAGGTGGTGGGATCACAGTGGAACCATTCGCTAGTGTAAGTAGGTCTTTGTCCAGAGGTTGAACAAGCGCACACAGTATAAAAAAATCCTGTAGCAAGCAGTGCATACTAGAAAAAACTGCAACCATGTTTTTGATTTAAAACAGTGACTTTGCAGTGTACAGTGGAACCCCAAGTTTCGGCTGCCCTGTGTAACAGCCGCTTCAGGTTTCGACCGCTTTTTTCGGCTAAATTTTGTCCCAAGTTTTGGCCATTGCTCCATGTTTCAGCCGGCATACCAGACCTGTTCGCCTGCCCACACCTGCGTGCCTCCCCACGCAGGCGTCGTGAGCCAGTGAACATTACCCTGCACGCTCATCTGAACATTTCACAATAAATTCATTGTGTTTAGTGCTTGTTTATTGATTGTGACTGTGAAATAAGCCACCATGGGCCCAAAGAAACTTTATAGTGGCAGTGAGGCAGTGGTTGAGGCAGTGGTGCAGGCAGTGGTGGAGGTAGTGGTTGAGGCAGTGGTGGAGGCAGTGGTTAAGGCAGTGGTTGAGGCAGTGGTGCAGGCAGTGGTGGAGGTAGTAATAAGTCCTCCCTCTCTCCTCCTTATCTTCCAAATGCCAACAAGAGTCTTCAATAAAGGTATGTAAATGTGATTTTAAATGTTTATTTAAATGTTTATTTATGTATTGTATTACTCATTTAATACTATATGTATGTTTTAAGTACTATATGTATGTTAAACTATAGTTATTCTTTAAAAAATGTATTTTTTTTTTTAATATTTTTGTGGGTCTGGAACAGATTAATTGTGCTTACAATAGTGCTTCGATTTTCAGCCATTTCGAGTTTAGGCCTAACTCCTGGAACAGATTACAGATGAAACTCGGGGTTCCACTGTATATTCATATTGTATTGATGGTTGTATTCTCGATTTCTTGGTCTCATTTGATAGAATGGAAAATATATTACAGAAATAGAGGTGATTTTGAATAGTTTGCCTAATAAAAGTAGCTTGAAATTTAGCTCAAAATAGCAGAAGAATTAGATTTTTGAGGATTTTCAAGAGCGAACAAATCACATCACACGTCCCGTACACATCAACTGGTGAATCTAATATGCATTCATCATTGTGTTGATATTATTTATACAATTATTACAGTTATGCAGTAGTTTGAATAAAAGTAAATCATCTATTTTTTTGTGAATAAAAATTCAAATTGAAAAGCAAGCATAATATAAGAGGAGCTTAGAGACATGACTAGTGAACAGAGAAATGCTATTTTAGTGTCAGGAATGTCTTCTTTGTTTATTCTGGCCCCTATTTGGAAATAGGACTTTTGGAATTTTGGGTGAAATTGGCCAATTTAGTAATTTCAGATCACTTTATTTGGTAGTTGAAATAGGTAAATGAGCGGTTTCTTGTAGTCAGTCGATAGAATAAAAGGAAAAAGATTCTCTATCATTTCATAAGATTTTTTTTTAAATGGCATTATGAGCAAGTTTCCAAGCAGAGGGTCTTGACACTCAAAAAGCTAATTCTCAAATTCTTTGACTCTTTAATTCTACTGTGATAAATAAAGCTGAAATTTTTTTCTTAGATTATCATACACAGATAAAAGCAAGAATTTATGTTACTTTAATGAAGTTTCATTATATGCTTCTAAATACAATATGGTGCTTTACTGAATCACAGGGGCATCATATTGAATTGGATTAGAGACACTGAATTAAAGATATTTCCACTCTTTTAAGCCACATTTTTCTTTACACAGGAGCGGATGTGATCATCTCATATTTTACACCGGCCATACTGGAATGGATCAAAGAGGAGAACAAATCTTAAATTTATTTCTAGTGATTGATGAAATTTTTATTGGTTTATGCCTGAACAGTACATGTAAAATGCTCAAGTGTTCCTTGTATTATAAAATTACAGTACTGTTACACTCCTTTCATATATTTTAGGATTTTTTCTGGATAAATTAACACTGGTAATGCTAAAACAAGGAAAGCTGGAGGTATACTTCATTAAATGGTTCAGGGTTTAAATGTTGTCAAAGTTGACTATTCAGCAATAAGGTGGTGGTTCATTTTCTTTGTGTGGGGAGTTCCATGGATCATTATTAGGACTGACAACCTGTTCTTATAGCTTCTGTAATGCCAGTAATAGACTCTCAGATCAATTTTCATTCTGTAAATCATTTGTTTACACTCCAGCATACCTATGTTCCCTTTTTTTTGACTCTCAGAGGCCTCTAGCACCATTTAGCTTGCTTCTCCATCCTGGTGGACAGTGATCAGAATTATTCTTGCTTGGCACATAGATCTTGTACAAATAGGATGACTTGTTCAGTGTGTTTAGCTGATTCTACAGTGAATTTAATTGGGGACTTACTCTCCCAGCATTGGCATAAGTGCTGCTGACATTTCATTGTTTAAGATGCTGCTAACTGACATAGTTATTCAGTAGAGGGCTAGTCATACCCTCATTGCTTTGCATTATTCTTCTATTTCAGTCATTCACTTCTTTTCAACTCATGGATGATAGCTGTCTGACAGTATCAGTGCCTAGTAATAGTTCTCACTTGCTGCCACCTACCCAGCCACAAGCTGGAATAGAGGCAGTCACCTATGCCAAGTTCCAGCATATCATGGGACAATGTGATTCAGGTCAATGTTAAATGGGATTGTAGTTATAGACAAATATGCATTAGCCCCCCTTCAAAATTCTAATATTACTTCCAGTACAGAAGTTTCAGCAGTTATTGATTAACATTCACCAAACCTACCCGTTCATGCGATCTTCTTACACTACAATTGAATACCTATGACAGTAGAGAAGTATATGGGTAGTTGGTAACTTGCATTTATCTGGCACTCATCATGGAGTGCATGAATATTATGAGTGCATCAGCCTTCTCCCTCCATTCCAGTTCACTACTCCATCTATTTTCTAATGTCATTTTCTTGGGCCATCAATATGTGACCAACTGAGATACATACTAGACTCATGTTTTATTGCTAGATCCTCTGGTGATTTACCACCCCAGTTTTTCACCAGGGAATCTTTATTGTTAACTACGGTCTGAGTTCTTGACACACTTTAATTATCATACATTTATTAAGGATGATTATATTCATTTACTCTTTGATGGGTTAGTAATATCATAGGATGAAAAACAAAGCTTCACATGTGGCCTATGGGCATTGGACCTGGCCAGACCTAAGTCATAAACTAGTAGCTAAACATGACAAATGCTTTGACATAGCATTTTAATTATGTATATGTTATGGCTCATGCTAGTGCTAAGATAAGAAATAACTTACGAAGAGAATCATTCAGTAAATCAATAAATCCTGATTTTGGTAGTTCTCATTGGCAAATACTGGATATCTGTCACATGAGAAAAGTCACATTATAAGAAGTTGCATGTGATATATCTGCTATTTATGTTTGCATACATTTCTTTGCCCAGGACTTATATAGATCCTCTACATTCCACACGAATGTATCTATCTAGCAGTTTATTTATATAAGTAACCTAATGTCACATGTTGAGAATTTATTCTCTTATTGCTCTGCACTTTCAGCTTCTTCCTTAAGGTCTTCTGCTGCTACCTCCATGATTTTGGATTTTTGGTTGAATTTCATTTGCAGTAGTGGCACATGGAACCTAAATGCAGTTTATAGAGTTTTGAAATATGAAAAAAAAATCTTTCTGTGGGAAGGTTTCTTGAATTATGGTGTCCACCAAATCCCCTTGCTTGCTGTTTTTAACCAGTCTGTTTTCCCCAGAATATAAGCTAAAGATCTGCACTGTGATAGAGCAAGAGGAAGCATAGGTGTATAGTAGAAAGCAGATTGATAACATATTAGGCAACATATGATTGAATAGTCTAGTACTTCTGCTAGAGAGGTTATACCAACAGGTTATTCTTATTAGTGGGTCATCAAACCCTCCGTAGACAGTAGCATTTCATACTTCTAAACTTTATATTGTAACACTGGAAAAAATTATTCTGAGCTTCCTGTGGTTTTGGTGACTCATGAGCTTATATGGTTACCTTGCAGTGCAATGAGGAGAAATGCATGATCATCTGGCATGTTAGTTTGCAAGATGGTAAATATCTTGTACTATGTCACTTTCCTTTATCAGCATATGAGTTAAAATTGTTTGGAGTTAGAAGGAAAACACACTATACAATTTTATTTAAAATTATACATCAATGAATGTACAAGATATTTATGTTTATAGATGATAATTGTTATCGGGTCACCTAGGCTCGGTGGAAAATGGCTAACATGTAAAAAAAAATTATCAGTATGTTATATAAAATAATTAGGGATTGAGATTGATTTCTGGTAAGGCTGTTGTTGACTTGAGAGAGTGAGAGATTGTATGTGCTCAGAATGAATGTTGTGTGAAGATATTTTTAATATAATAAACAGATCAAGTGACAATTTAGCTGACTGTGATATCTAGATAAAAAACAGCGTGTCAAATATACTATCCATGTTTCAGTTTTGTGTAAAAAAAATTTTATATTTTAAAAGATTACTTATTTTTTTAGACAATGAATATAATGTACAGCATAAGTGTTTTATCAAAAATTTAATTTGAAAAATACTCTAAATAGTTTCTGGTTGTAAGAAGTCTAGTCTCAGGGTTTGTTGATTGTCTCTTATTGATACTGCTTGTATGCCAGATACTTTCCATTTAGACTAGTTAAATTCAATGACATACAGTCAAGCTCAGTTTAAAATATACTGTAGAGATATTATGAATTATTATAAAGTTATAATAAAAAGGCCACTTCTAGTCTTTCTTGGTTGTACCAGAATTTGAATTTTGATAAGGATTAAAAATATTTTGGGCCAATAATGAAACTGTCATTAAGTGGTCTTAACCAAAACTCTGGTTATGCCAAGGCTGATAGACTGCTGTCATAAATGCTGGTGAGGGGGCTCTTGATTGAAGGAACTGGGCCTGTCCTTTTTCATAAATCGAACCTGAATACCCCCTGCTCACCAGGTGCTATAGGACCCCTACAGGTTTAGTGCTTCCTACTGATTTGTCGTGGAGGTTCGAGAGGAGATATTGGAGTAAGAAATACACACTTTGGATGTCTTGGAGGCTTATAATTGAGAGTTTTGAGGAGAAAACCCAGGCCTGCCTGCCGAGTCTAAGCCTAGCATTGAACTGAGAGGGAACACTGGCCTACGGCTCACATGTGATGTGTTTCGTGACATCATAGCTAGTAAGGAAGCCTATCTATAAAGTAGCTGGGATTATCTAAGTATACTACACAAGTACATAGTAACACTACTGACAGATTAAAATAAAATCATTCCCTCATTGATTTCTTAACTGACACTGATTTAGGGATGAGCACAATGCCAGGCATATCACTGGAGGCACACATCAACTGAATAACTTTGGCAGCCAGTGCTCATCTGGCAGATCTAAGATTTGCCAGATAAGCAGAGAGTAATACAAGACATCATTGTGAGCCATTTCTGTCACTTTAGCTTGCAGTAATCCAAAGGCTCTTGAAGAACACACTTAATTACCAAAGCACAAGCTCATTCACAGTGTACCTACCTCACGTTAATAGCATTTAATGTTTAATCGTATCTGTGAATGACAAAAAACTGCTGCAAAACATGGCTTAGATAACACACACCTACCATCATTTGATGGAAGTAAAAAGAATGTTATTGCCAAGTTATCTGTTTTTGTTGAAAATATTACACAAAACAGCCATAAGTCTTGGTGAAAGAAATTATCTGTGCTCAGAAATATTGAGTCAAGCATAATATTTGAAACATTTCCCCAACAATGGTGTGAGTAAGCCAATATTCTCAGGTTTAGCTGACACACTATCAGCTCTCATAGTGTCACTGTTAACTAGGTTCAAGAGTTGCACCACAGATTACAACATGATACTCCTCTTCACCTCTTCAAGGGGGGCTCCTTGGTGTGCTGAAGAGGCTTTTGATCTGAGGAATTGGACTTTTTGATCTTCCTCAGACTGAACCTAATTACCCCCCAATCCCCCCTTCCCTATCCCTCCTCTCTATCCCTCCTTTCTCATTCTTCCTCCTTTTTCCATCCTTCTCCTCTCCCTTTCCTGTTTTCAGCCTTTGGGGTCCTCCTCTCAGACATTCTGGTTCCTAGCTAGGGGAAAGGGTACCATGGTCCATCCCATTCTGTTGAGGTCCTTGGGGGGGCAGTGTAGTTTGCCATGGAAGCTGGATCATCTGGGGATGTCCCAATCCCTCTCCTGTCTGTTGGAGGGAGGCTTCAGGTGTCTTTCAGGTGACAGGTGTATCTCTGGAGGCTACCTGTCAGATTCTGGGAGGTGGTAGCCGAAGGAGGTATGCCTCGTGGCGGATATCTGACCGCCCTCCTTTTGTCCACCAAGGTGGCTCGGTAGATGTAAGGTTACTATCTTGGATTGTTGGTTTATTCGCATGAATGGTAGGGTATAGCAGGGGTTCTATGCTGCATCTGTTCTTTGGCACAGAGGGGGATTTATGGCCCTTTCTTTCCTCCTAGGAACTACCCCTCCACATCCCTCCCCCCATTTTTTTACTGTTTTCTTTTTTCTTTTTTTGGGAAAAAGAAAAAAGTGACATAACCATGGAGTCCCAGTTCCATGAAACTGCTCCTCCCAGGCCTCTTTCTGCTGCAGCACCCTCTTATGACCCTGCTTCATTATTGGACCATTCTTTGGACCTATCTAATGCCCTGGTACCTTCTGTGGGTGACATTGTGTCGCACGCTCCTCGTGCCGAGGCTCTGCCTGACTCCTTTAATACACCTGGCCTCCACATGTCTTTGACTGTGCTTCAGGCTTCTGCAACGATTTTCAGATCACCCATCCATCTCAGGACAGACCTCTTCTGGTCCCACACCAAAACGACCACGGCCATTAACGGATGACTCTGCTACGATTACCTCTCACTTTTCCCAGAAAAGGCCAGCACAATACATGCTCCCCTTGTACACTACATTTCAAAGTACACAATGGATTAAGCGTTTTGCTCTGCAACCGACAACCCCCCAATGACTATAGTTTGACTATTGTATCGGCAAGGCACTCCCGTGCCATGTTGGTCAAAACATTTCATTTCATACTCTTAAGAGTGGTGCACACATTGTCACAGTATGAAATGCTGGCCAGACTCACAATCTTTCTCTTCTTGCCTCCATAGGGGCTCTGGTGGCCTGGTGGTTAACGCTCTCGCTTCACACGGTGAGGGCCTGGGTTCGATTCCCAGCCAGAGTAGAAACATTGGACGTGTTTCTTTCCACCTGTTGTCTATGTTCCCCATCAGTAAAATGGGTACCTGGGTGTTAGTCGACTGGTGTGGGTCGCATCCTGGGACACTGACCTAAGGAGGCCTGGTCACAGACCGGGCCGCGGGGGCGTTGACCCCCGGAACTCTCTCCAGATAAACTCCAGATAAACAGTCCAAAAACACATTTCTCTCAATTCTTGTAGTGGTACCGTCATTCTGCCTAATACTATTGTTTGAGGTGATTTCCAGACATGTAATGACATTCTGGAGCAACTTGAGCTCCAAGACCTTCCTATTGTCAAAGTGGACACTTCTGTACTACCTGCCCACGGGCAGAGACGCTTCTCCTGCAATGTAGCTCGCTTAACTTTTGGCTGCCGTGAGCTTCCGTCCTCAGTTTATATTGCAGGACACCATTTACAAATCCAAGAGGTTATTATTATTTTTTTTTTTTTTTTATTATCACACCGGCCGATTCCCACCAAGGCAGGGTGGCCCGAAAAAGAAAAACTTTCACCATCATTCACTCCATCACTGTCTTGCCAGAAGGGTGCTTTACACTACAGTTTTTAAACTGCAACATTAACACCCCTCCTTCAGAGTGCAGGCACTGTACTTCCCATCTCCAGGACTCAAGTCCGGCCTGCCGGTTTCCCTGAATCCCTTCATAAATGTTACTTTGCTCACACTCCAACAGCACGTCAAGTATTAAAAACCATTTGTCTCCATTCACTCCTATCAAACACGCTCACGCATGCCTGCTGGAAGTCCAAGCCCTCGCACACAAAACCTCCTTTACACCCTCCCTCCAACCCTTCCTAGGCCGACCCCTACCCCGCCTTCCTTCCACTACAGACTGATACACTCTTGAAGTCATTCTGTTTCGCTCCATTCTCTCTACATGTCCGAACCACCTCAACAACCCTTCCTCAGCCCTCTGGACAACAGTTTTGGTAATCCCGCACCTCCTCCTAACTTCCAAACTACGAATTCTCTGCATTATATTCACACCACACATTGCCCTCAGACATGACATCTCCACTGCCTCCAGCCTTCTCCTCGCTGCAACATTCATCACCCACGCTTCACACCCATATAAGAGCGTTGGTAAAAACTATACTCTCATACATTCCCCTCTTTTGCCTCCAAGGACAAAGTTCTTTGTCTCCACAGACTCCTAAGTGCACCACTCACTCTTTTTCCCTCATCAATTCTATGATTCACCTCATCTTTCATAGACCCATCCGCTGACACGTCCACTCCCAAATATCTGAATACGTTCACCTCCTCCATACTCTCTCCCTCCAATCTGATATTCAATCTTTCATCACCTAATCTTTTTGTTATCCTCATAACCTTTTACTCTTTCCTGTATTCACCTTTAATTTTCTTCTTTTGCACACCCTACCAAATTCATCCAACCAACTTCTGCAACTTCTCTTCAGAATCTCCCAAGAGCACAGTGTCATCAGCAAAGAGCAGTTTGTGACAACTCCCCACTTTGTGTGTGATTCTTTATTTTTTTAACTCCACGCCTCTTGCCAAGGACCCTCGCATTTACTTCTCTTACAACCCCATCTATAAATATATTAAACAACCACGGTGACATCACACATCCTTGTCTAAGGCCTACTTTTACTGGGAAAAAATTTCCCTCTTTCCTACATACTCTAACTTGAGCCTCACTATCCTCGTAAAAAAACTCTTCACTGCTTTCAGTAACCTACCTCCTACACCATACACTTGCAACATCTGCCACATTGGCCCCCCTATCCACCTGTCATACGCCTTTTCCAAATCCATAAATGCCACAAAGACCTCTTTAGCCTTATCTAAATACTTGTTCACTTATATGTTTCACTGTAAACACCTGGTCCACACACCCCCTACCTTTCCTAAAGCCTCCTTGTTCATCTGCTATCCTATTCTCCGTCTTTACTCTTAATTCTTTCAATTATAACTCTACCGTACACTTTACCAGGTACACTCAACAGACTTATCCCCCTATAATTTTTGCACTCTCTTTTTTCCCCTTTGCCTTTATACAAAGGAACTATGCATGCTCTTGCCAATCCCTAGGTACCTTACCCTCTTCCATACATTTATTAAACAATTGCACCAAACCACTCCAAAACTATATCCCCACCTGCTTTTAACATTTCTATCTTTATCCCATCAATCCGGCTGCCTTACCCCTTTCATTTTACCTACTGCCTCACGAACTTCCCCACACTCACAACTGGCTCTTCCTCACTCCTACAAGATGTTATTCCTCCTTGCCCTATACACGAAATCACAGCTTCCCTATCTTCATCAACATTTAACAATTCCTCAAATTATTCCCTCCATCTTCCCAATACCTCTAACTCTCCATTTAATAACGCTCCTCTCCTATTTTTAACTGACAAATCCATTTGTTCTCTAGGCTTTCTTAACTTGTTAATCTCACTCCAAAACTTTTTCTTATTTTCAACAAAATTTGTTGATAACATCTCACCCACTCTCTCATTTGCT